CTTAACATTGTGATCATATTCAGCTTTATGCTCCTTGTTCAGTAGAGTCAGGATTATTATTCTGCTTTTTAGCTCAGAGGAAAGAAGAAAACAATCAGATATCAGAGAATATCAAAATATTATAATAATATTAGTTCTGACTGCAGATCAGGCAGAAACAGATCAGCTCTTAAAGCAGATGATTAAAACGGTTCTGATCCGTTTTTAACTGGTGGAAAGTTGAAAACGTGAAACTGCTTGGTGATCAAATCCAGGCTGGAGGTGATTAAATCAGCTGCATGACTTTATTTAATAGTTTTTATTTTATTTCCTGCAACTTCAGAAGGAAAAACATTTGTACCTGATTAAATCTCTACTAATTGCAGCCACTTTGGACAAATTATTGTATCTGATCTGGCGTAGTCAGCTGCTGCAGTACTCCTCCCCTCCACCAGAGGGAAGTAGAGACTAACGTCTAAGAAGCGGCTTGAGGAATACACATATTAAAAATATTTTAATATTTTTAGCAGAATATTTTTAACAGAAGTTTAACTATTCCTGTGTCAGTTTATGTGTGGATATGATTTATTAAAGTAGAAACTTCTGGTGTTTTAGTTCATATTTTCTGTTTTTTGTGATGTTTAAAATTTCTCATTTGATGAGCACATTATGGATGGAGTAATAAAACATTCTGAACGAGGAACTAGAATCAGACACGTGGGTGGAGATGAGGGTGGAGGAGCAAATTCAAAATACATAAACACGTACTGTAAGTGAAGTCACGCTAAACTGTTTTTATTTAGGTTTTTCCTGATTGCCTTGTTGCTTCTGACCCCTCTAAACCTAAAATCCTGTGCAGAACCTGCCTGACTTCCTGCTCTGGTCTCTTCATGCTTAGATCCATGCAGCAGATCTGCTGGACGTCATAAGGTCTGATTTCTGCTGCTCAGGTTCTGCAGAACGTTCTTCTGTTGCTCTGATCTGTTGGGTCATATCCACATATAGCATATTAAAGCAGGTCACATGGTTACTTAATGCAGAGTTTCTCTCAGCCTCTTGTTGCAGTAAAAGCTTTAGTTATGGAGTTACTCCCCTGCAGACAGAGAGTCTTCATGAAGTCATTATTGTTGCTGGTGCAGAGTGGAGGGTTTTGTTTCTGCGGGTGGAGAAGCTTTGTTAGAACAGGAAGTGGAGCTCAGCCACAAACATCAGACGCCTTTTCTCAAAAGCCATTTTGAGAAACAAACGCTGAGCCTCATTCTGGCTTCTCACCAGGAACAGAAATAACTCAGATCTTCTTATTGTGGCATTAATGTTTCTGAGACTTTGTCTCTCGTTTTGGTTTCTCTGTTTTGAGTCACCCACCCTCGACAATCAGGTTGAAGAGTTTCCTGGTTCCTCTGCCGTTGATGATCTGTCCCAGGTAAACATCAGAGTCTGCAGAGGAGAGATCATGGATGGTGAGCGAGCCGCTTCTCAGACTGAGGCCAAACCTCCTCAGCTGGTTGATCTGATCCTCTCCGATCATCAGTTTTTACATTGTAAATGACATTGTTTTAAAACTCTGACTCCACTTTTGCGTGTTGTGTGATTGAATAAAAGGCCTCTCCAAGCCGAACTCCCTCACTGAACTTCAACCCGAGTCCTCACCGGTTTAGCAAAATATTCTCTTGTCAAATGGGACGCCATCTCTCTGACAGCCCAAACCAGGAATGTAAGCAATGAAGAAATAATGCAAAGAGCAGCAGGTTACAATTCGTGGACAACAGTGTGACAAACTGATCAAAATCTTCCACTTAACCCCTATGGAAAGTTAGAACCTGTTGGATCACATCAGGTATTTCAACTTTCAAGGAAATGTGCTGTCAAAATGTGGAAAACACAAGTGGGAATTCCCCAAGCTGAATGGGTAGGAGGCTTGATAAAAGTTTGCTTCATGTCAGCATGGATCTGCCCAACCCAAGGGCATAGCTGGTTTAAACCGGCATTATCTGCAGACCCCCCCAAACCCCCACCCCCGTCATCTTAATGTGAAAACTTGATAGAGATGTGTTTGTCAGATGTAAAAAGGTGTGGCGTCTCGAGTCCCAAATACTGAAAGTGGTTGCATTGGTTCCTTGTGTCACTGAAACATCCCAGTTGAACAAGAATGAGGCTCCACCTGCAAAAGTTTTTTTAGAATGAGACCAAAGAAAAGAACAGTATGTTCTATCAGAGGCAACACGTTCACTTCCTGCTGTGCTTCCTGAATCTGTGTTTTCAGGTGTTTTTAGCAACAGGTTACATGATCAGCTGGTGTGCTGTTCTGTCTTTCTGATCAATTTGCAGTTCATTGTATGCTCCGATAAAATGTGTCCCTGTGTCAATGAGCTCAATGTGCCCAGCTCTTGTGGGCATGCAGGTGAAAACTATCAGCCCAGCGTTTGCTGTCTGCACTTCTTCCTCCGGTATGGCATGTGGAGACTGCAGGGGCCAAAGACATCCAGTCCCACACTAGTGAATGGTGGAACGGCCTGGTTCTGGTCTGCTCTACCAGACATGGAGAAGCAGCATTAATAAATTTCTGAAAATGTGACAAAAGTATTTTTCACACCTCAGTAGCAGGAAATGTGAAAATATCACCTAAAATGCATAATGTAAATATTTTATTTTTTCAGAAAATATTAAGTTATAAAATGTATGCATTTATTTTATTATGTTCTCTTATATTTTTCTGAAGTTCTACAATTTTGTTTTATGTTGTTCACCTCTGAGTGGAGCATTTTGATTTCCTGGTTGTCTGTTTTTTGTCAACATTTGTATCTAAGCCAAACATGGACATAACTGGTGGGACATAAAGTGTTAATGTACTTAAGTACATTAAGTACATTTTTCACGTATCTGTACTGTTACCCTAACCCACTCCTTCCCTCCTCACCCCTTCCTCTTATCCATGGAGCTGTGGAGCTGAGCGCTCCTAAAGACATCATGCCTTGATAACATCTTATCGGACTCTGCCAGGGGCTCTGTAACATTTTTTGTGGCCCTGTGATGTCACCGCCTTCACTCATGTCTCTGTTTTGCCCCTTTGTTTTGTCTGAATGTTGCCATTTGCCCTAATGTGTCCTTATCTCTTTTTTGTTTTCGAAACGGTGGAGTACTCCCTATTTAATCCAGAAAAGGAATATTTTAGATTATCATTAATATCAGAAACTGTAGAGTTTCATCATTTAAAAATGGTAGATACTTAGCAACCCTGAACAGGAGCACTTAGTTTACATACTATAGAACATTAGATTAGTTTTATTTCCTCTTTTTTTCTTTCCTTTGGTTTGTTATTTTGTTTGTATTTCCTTTTAACTCATGTAAAGCACTTTGAATTACCTTGTTGCTGAAAATATGCTATATAAATAAAATTACCTTACTTCAGTAGATTTAATCGTGGGCACATTCAACTTTTACTCAACTACATTTTACAGTAATTATCCATACTTTCTACTTCACTACATTCCTATAAAGCTTTGCGTAACATGTTACATTCAAGTTACATCTCACTTTTTTTTATTTGTTTGTTAGTTTGAACATATTTCGCTCCAGAATTTGTCTGACTTCTAGGTAGTTTTAGTTGGGCTCTCCCTGTCCTTCCTGGATGATCCGTCCTGCTGTGTCTTTGTTAATGTCAAATGTACCTTACTCAAAGTAATATTTGTTGTGAATGACGTCAAATTTTGCGTTGCGCTACAACAAACTGCAAACATTGAAACCAATATGGACAGGACAGCACAATAAACTCGAAAACAGCCATGAACGAATGTGTCCATAAAGGTGAACAGTACAGATAAATGCCAATATAATCATTGAGGTAAGTGTCACAAATCTATGCAGCAGCCATCTGAGTTGTGGAGCCGGAGAGTTATGCGATGCACTTACAGCAAATGCAGGGCAGTAATACAGAACCTGGAGGTCGTCTGTCAATGACAAAAAAAGTTGCCTGTGTAAAGATGGCTTTATTAAAAAACCTGACAAAGTTGTATTTAGAGTTCTCCCGACAATAGTGGAAAAGACAAAAAATACACAAAAATTACTAAGGTTTTCTTTTTACATCCATCCATCCATTTTTTTCCGCTTATCCGGGGTCGGGTCACGGGGGCAGCAGCTTCAGTAAAGAGGCCCAGACTTCCCTCTCCCAGCCACTTCTTCCAGCTCCTCCAGGAACCCCAAGGCGTTCCCGAGAGACATCGTCCCTCCAGCGTGTCCTGGGTCTTCCCTCCTCCCAAAGGGACGTACCCTTATCTCAGTTGTAACAATTTTCATCATCATTGATCTCCCTTGATACAGATCCGTCTGCCTTTCCCTTGATACGACTACTGGAGATTCCGATACATTCAGAAAGTACTTTTACTTTTAATACTTTAAGTATTGTTACGACTGGCTCAAGGTCATAACAAAATGGGAGACCATGCAGGGGTTAAAGTGTAGAAAAATTAATATTTATTAACGAAAACAGTGGATTGTGGATATCAGCATCAGTGGTGTAATGCAAATGCTTGGATGTGTTGTATGAGTGCATATGGAAGTGTTGAAGTGCAAAAACAGACAAACGCAGATGTGCAAAAAGGAGGGGAGCTGAGGCCTGGCAACAAACACCACACCCATACCCAGAAGGCAGAGACAGCCAGGTTCAAATACTCTGCGCTCCACTCAACCCGATCAGCAGCACCTGTAAAGGGGAGGAGCACAAAGACAGACAACAAGACACTTGCAGTCCAGGCCCAGGGCCGTAACAGTATTTTTAAAAGCCAGTGCTTTCTTGCTTTTACTTAAGCAAAAATGTTAATGTTGTACTTTTACTAGAATATATTTTGTGTATTTATTTGTACTTTTACTTACTTACATTGTTTGAGTACTTTCTCCACCACTGATCTAAGTGAAGGATGATGAATTATGTATTTGCAAGGAATACTCTGATTGGATGAAAATGATCTGCATGTGATTGGCTGATAGTGTTTTTAACTATGCTCATAAGTGCATATAAGCACAGAGAGCTGAACTCCACCACATACTGTGAAGACTTCAAGAGGATCCAGACCTGCAGAACAAAAGCCATTTCACTTTCACTAAGTTTTGCAATCAACAAAAAACACGGTAAGAACAAAATATTTCAAAATAATAAGAGATAGTGTAGAAAAAGAGTTGAGAAGAGTTGAGCTGGTTTGAGATTCATAACTATATGAATCTAGTATCACATTATACAATTTACATGTTTCAGGTTTCTTTCAGAAAGAAGTTTGATGAAAGTGTATATGACACATTAAGTGGAATGATGTTTATTTTCTGTTCAGTTCCAAACTTTTTTCTGAAACTCATAAAATCCTTAAGGCAACATATAGCTAAAGATAGAAGATAAAATATATTTTAGTTTTGGCAATTACGTCTGCTATTCATGGGAGAAATTAATAAACCAAGCGAAGACTTATTCATTCAGCTAAATAAGTGCAATGTTCCTGTTGATTGGATTTCCAGTTTATAAAGAACCAGTCAACAACGAGTGAGGAAAAAAAATAAAGCAGGAGCAAAGAGAGAAAAAAACAACTTTTTCCAAGTACCAAATGCCTTGAGGTATTTCTGTTTTTAAACAGAAATTCACACTGCTTCTGGAACTAGCTCACATCTCACAGCCATCAATAAAGTTATACTGAACTCTTAATGATAGACTTATCTATTTTTATTTTCTGTGAAAGCATAACTGTGACCACAGTGTGAGCTGTTGTCCTGGTTATTGCCATATTCCAAGCCTACAAGCAGATGGCGTTTTCCCAGTTTTATGTTTTCCAAGGAACTTACAGCAGCATGGTGATAGATGCTAAAATAGAAAGACATCAACAATGGTGTTAGAGATGCAGGGAAAGTAAAAACGGTCACAGCTACTTTTTAATTTTTCTTGGAAACTGCAGTTACACTGCTGAATTTTGAGAATTGCATGAGTGAAGGTTTAAACACCTCTGAATGACTGCCAATGGAGATTCAATAATTGCTCAAACATTCATAAAAGAATCAAAGCAATACTCTAGATATGGTTTAGATCAGTGGTCCCCAACCCGCGGCCCAGTACCAACTGGTCCGTGGACCAATCGGTACCGGGCCGCGCAACAAATATTTAATTTCCGTTTTATGCATTTGAGTCTGGAGGATCTTTTATTTTGAAAATCCTTTACCAGGATTCTCTCGCCAACTCTGAGCCCACAAGCAGCAAAATGAGTAAGAAACAGATCAGATGTCTAAAGTTTCTCTGCAAAGGGGAAAAGGCCCAGAAGAGACAGGAGGATGGATTTATCCCGGACCGGTAGGTGAGTCAAACATTACAAGCCTCTCTGAGTAACATGGCGACCGGCTGCTAATGAGGCAATGAAGCTTCAACCTGCTTCACCACGTAGAAACCAGGGATATGTAAACGTTACCATAGCGACCAGAGTCAGAGCGTT